AATGTAACTTCAAAAGCCACAAAATCAGGTTACCTGCACCCCCATCTTGGGTGTGTACTATTGTTCTTCAGCAACCTACTCTTTGAACACCCTCACTTAGACCCACATCATAGAAGATCTCATTTCTACTACCTTGCTAACTTTTCACTCTGATTCATCCTAAAATTCTTTCCCAGGACAGATTTTTCCCTTGGAGGTCCCTCAGGCTAGCAGCAGGGTCTCACCGTCTCCTAGTTGCTAACAGCAAGCGTCTCTCCAGGGTGGGAAGTGAGATCACCCAGGAAGAGAGCAGACGCACACTGACCAGCATGCCCTCACTGCACACTAGTGCTGCAGAGCTGACGGCCACGGCCTGTAGAGTAAGCTAGATGCCCAGGACCTGCCTGGGCATTTGCTATAGGGCTAACGTTCCACATTCCTCCTGTTCCCTATCACTCAGGACACTTCAAGAGGGCAAGAATCCCTGAAGGGTGGCTCCCTGATGAGACACTGTCCCACCCGACCTGGAAGAAAGATGGTACCTCTAAAGTGGTCTGGATTCAGGTCCATTGGCAGAGGCCTAGGGGATGGTGTAGTTGCAAGCAATGACCCTAAAGGGCTAGTTACTTAATTCGCTCAGTAAGTGGCTTCTTACAGTTGACTGAAGGGAATCACACACAGATGATAACTGGATCCAGGCCTGTCTGATGCCCAAGTCTAGCTCATTCATGTCAAACTCACCAGGCAGCTTGCCAACAGACACTGGTTTGGGTTCTGGGAGACATGGCCAAGTGCAGTCTGACCCAGCTTATCTCTTGCCTGGTTATTGAAAAACCAGTCAGTCCTTCATAGGGCCTCTGCATCAAGTCATGGCCATTTCAGGTCTGCCTCTACCCTTTACTTCTATCTTCCTCCCATGCCAAGCATCTGATACCTCTGAACTACAGAGATGAGCACAGCCAGGCTTGCTTCTCAGGGAAATCACCACCAGGGACAGAGAGTGGAAGCTCTGAGGCGACATGGCGCTCTCAGCGGCAGAGCAGATGCTTGGCAGTGCTCCCCTCTAGTGCCAGAGGTCTGAGGAAGGGAAGTGACAACAGCCATTGAATCTGCTTCTAGGTCCCACTGGGACTCTCCTTTTAAGTTGCATAAATGAACATAAGAACAGTGGAATCCATACAGCATCCCAGAGATTCAAGGCTGAGAGCTGGAGCCGTGCTTGAGACTGGAGACTTAGGGTGAATATGGAAAGGCATAAGGAAAGTGCTTGGGAAAAATAAAAGTGATGAAACTGACAGTTGCGGAGACCAGGACAGTCATCTGCTCAGGAAAACTGCTCAGAGAGCAGACACAGGCCAGGCCCAAGTTTCCCATGGAGCCTCCAAGATGGCAGAGGAGGGTCTCAGCGCTATGCTGGGAGCACTAACTGCCTCTTGGGGCTGAGGAGCCAGCAGGGCAGATGCTGTTTGTAACCTGCAGGAATGGCTGCTCTGTAAGTGGGCAGTTTCCTCCTGGGTCAGCAGCCTATTTTAGAGGAATCCCAGGGGTTCCCTCTTGCACCTCTCAGTTGCTGTAAGTGACTGTGCTAACTGCTGTGGCCTCAGAGGGGCTAAAGTTTGTAGTTGGTGGCTAGTTACTGAGGAGGTAGAGGGAACTCAGCCTCTAGGCTGCAGCAAGGCTGTTTGGTGGTACAGTTGCCCTAGGGACACCCAGGTTCTGCAAGCAAGCCCAGTAAAATCAGGGGATGTCCAAGTTGGTGGGATCTAACTCTGATTGCCCCTGGTGCCCTACAGGGAAGGAAAAGATCTTTGTTTACACCTCCCCTGGCAAAGACTCTCCCACACATAGACGAAAGAGATTTAAGGGGCTGGAGAGACGGCTCACTGCGTGAGGGTACTCGCTGCCAGGCTTCACAACCTGAGCCTCAGCCCTTGATCCCACAAGGCGGTGGGAACACTGAAGCCTGCATGTTGCCCCTGGACTCCCACATCCCCGTCACAACACACAAACACAGATACATATTAAATAAATGTAAAAAAACCTAAAAATCATTTAAGATAATTTACATAGTAACTTCCTTCCCAAGAGTGTACTATGAAAAGGGGGAAGGAGAGTAGCTTCACAATGGAGACCCCTGCAACAGTCCCTCAGCCAGTTCACGAAGTCTCAAGCTAGCTACGTCACACTGACATTGAATGCTCCTAACATGATGTGTTGGAAACAGCACCTTCCTTTCACATCAAAGTATAACAAAAACACCAGTCACGCTGGTCATGGCGGCACATGTCTTTAACTTCAGCACTAGGTAGGCAGAGGCAGGTTGATCTACATAGGAAATTGCAGGCCTGTCTCAGAAAACCATACTAAATAAGACATGATGATTAAGTCATATATGTCACATGGGTATTAGGAAAAAAAATGAAGGACATTTGAACAATAGAAAGCTTTGGCTAATGACGATGTATCAACACTGGCTCATCAATTATAACAAACGTATCATACTAAGTAGATCAGGCTGGCCTCGAACTCCGAGATCCACCTGCCTCTGCCTCCCAAGTGATGGAATTAAAGGCGTGTGCCTCCACTGCCTGGCTAGAGTGGGAACTCTTTACCTTTGGAATTACTCTCTGTATCTTTCTCTTTGCTGAGAAAGCGTCTTGAGGGCTGGGGCTTGCTTTGTGGCTGAAGACACAGCTGTGCTCCTCATGTGCTCGTCTCCACTCCTGAGTGCTGGGCCACAGGCCACCACATACTCTGCCCCGAGCCTTATCCCCAGCCTCTTCAAGTTTTCTCAACTTGTACTAAAACAGAGAAAGAAACTTCTCTACAGAACACAGTTAGATGACATGTACAGGCCCTGGACTGGGTCCTAGTTCATACAAACCACCACTACCAACAACAACAAATGTCCTTTTAGGCCTACAAGATGGCTCATTGGGGAAAGGCAGTTGCCAATAAGCTTCACAACCTGAATCCCATCCTTAGGACCCACACGGTGGAGGAACTGACTCTGGGAATTGTCCTCTGAAAGTCAGAAACGACAGTACAGGCCTTTAGTCCCAGTGTTCATGAGGCAGACAAGTTTCAGGACAGCCAGGGCCACATAGTGAGACCTCAAGAAAACTACAAAGAAGTTGTCCTTTGTCCCAGTACATGCCCTGCCCTTCCCCATAAATAAAAAAGAATTTTCTTTAGGGTAAGGGTTTCCACAATCACATATTAAACAACTGGAATTATCTTCTTCCAGTGCTGAGGACTGACCCCCACGGCCTCGGGCACAGGGGTTCATGCATCACAATACTCAATCACTGAGCACCATTCCAGCCTGAAGGTTATTCTCACCAAGGGTTCCTTTCATACTATGTGGGGAAATGTTATTTTTTAAAAGGTATGTGCTGACTTTTTGTCCCTTTAATTTCTAAACGTCCCATGACCTAGATCTAAAGCCCCTGTACCAACCCGTCTAAATTCACTCCTTTCCACCCGCCTCTTCACTTCAAACATGTCCAACACACCAGCCTTCCCTCTGACAACTTCCTGCTTAGGACCTTGGTCCACACCGCATATCCATGGGGTAGGGCTGACTCCTATTGCTCCATCTGAGTTTGCTGTTTGTTTCCATCTTGCTTGTCTGTTCACTGCCTATCTCTCTTTCTAGAATACAAACTCCTTCAGGGCAAAGGCTTTTCCCCAACCTGTTCACCATCTCTTCAGAAGCTGGACCAACACCTTCTTTATAGCATCCAATAGTAACTCTATCGTGGGGCAGAGCTGATGGCTCAGTGCATAAAAGAGCCTGCCATGCTAACCTGAGTTGGATGCTAGGTGAGACGCAGTGGTGAGCACCTGTAGCCACAGCACTCTCAGGAGAGGCAGGAGGCTGGCGGGAGAGCAGCCGGAAGCTCCTGGGCCAGCTGTGGAGCCTGCTGCCTTACACAGAAGATACAAGAGATCCTGCCTCAGCAACTGGGGGAACTGGTCACTACATTAGCTTTTACAGGCAGCATCTTACTATGTAGTCCTAGCTGGCCTAGAACTCAGTATGTAGACCAGGCCGGCCTTGAACTCACAGAGGTCCACCTACTTCTGTCTTCTGAGTGCTGAGATAGAAGTGTGCCACCACACCAACTTCTGAAAATCTGTCCTCTGACCTTCACGCATACGCTGTGATGCAGATACCCACAGACATTCATACACACATGCAAACACACACATAGAGTAAATTTAAAAAATCTACTGTGAGCCCGGTGGTACACCTTTAATCCCAGCACTCAGAGATCTCTTCATTTATTTGTTTTTTCCAGACAGGATTTCTCTGCGTGTAGTTCAACGCTAACCTGGTTTACAGAGTGCGTTCCAGGAAAGCCAAAACTACACACAGAGGGACCCTGTCTAGAAAAGCCAAACAAACAAACAAAAATCTATCATGAATAATTAAAAAATTACAATCATACAACTGTAGGAGTCCTAAGCTAGGGATTCTAAGTCATCTTTGATTCTCTTGACAGGGCACTATGCAAGAGCAAACTCCAAACTTCTTTCAAAGCAGCTTCAACCCATTTCCTTGCTTATCACCTCGATTCTTTTCTTTTTTAAAGATTTAATCATTTTTTATGTATATGAGCGGTCTGTCCGGGTGCACACCCGCATGCCAGAAGCGGGCATCTCCTAACCGCTGAGCCATCTCTCCAGCCCACTTCTTTTCGAGGAGGAAGGAAAGACACTGACAGAGGAGCTGACAGTGACTTCCAGACCTGTTTCGGACTAGCTGTGACCTGGAACAATGGGTGGAGGAGGAGATGGCACAAACATGGGAGGTCGGTGCTGGCAGATGTGATTCCTAGCCCAAAGACTAGTTTGTTTTGATTAGTGTCAGTATCTTACTCTGTATCCCAGGCTAGGACGCAGCAGTCCTCCTGCTTCAGCACCACATAAGCTGGGTTTACAGGCGAGTGCCATCACGCCTGACTCCCTCCTGTCGCTCTAGCCCGTACCTGAGGCAGGGGCGGCCTAGCCCTTACCAATAGCAAACTTCACCAGGGTTTCATTCTCTTCTGACAGCGAATCGAGGAATAAGTCCAGGACTTGCAGTTGCCGTAGATACTGGTAGTTGCTCGGGTCATAGGCAAAGTTGGCAAGGTTAGCGAGGACTTGCTCCTTGGCGTCTGCAATGGGAAGCGGCACTGGGGTCGGACCTGTGCGGTTTCGGCGTCGGAGCCCAGCCGCATCCCTCGCACCCACCCCACACTTCTTACCTTGGCTCTCGGTCTCCTGGAACTCCGTGACCAGCGCCTGCAAGTAGCCTAGCCGCCCGACGTGGGGGTCTACCTTGGGTTTCTGTGCCATGGCTGAAGCGGCGAAGGAGCCGGGAAGGAAGCAGCAGCGAGGCCGCGGGAAACGCTCGCCTGGATCCTGACCTGTCCCTGCAGCGATAGAGCGGCAGGCTAACCCAGTTGTGTCCTGGGTTCCAATCCAGGACACTGCAGCCAATCCAGCTGCAGTGATTGGCAGCTGGAGATGCGCTGGCGGGGAGGGCAGGCGTCTCAGGGTCCTGTGGGAGCCGGGTCTGAAAACTGAAATTCAACCCGGGTGACACGCCGGGGCTTTCTGGAACCGGAGGCACACCCCTCACCGAGGTCTCCACACCGCTTCCGGGCCCAGGGCGGAAGTCGCTCTAGCCCCGCCCCTGGGGACGGAATGGGCAGGACCACGACGGGATTGGGCGTGGCTACTGAGCGTCGTCTCCCGGGCTTCCCGCGCGATTTCTGGAGCGCTTGGCTTTCGGTGTCACTGCGTGGACGTTGGGGATGAGGGAGGAAGGAAAGAGAGAGGGAGGGAGGGAAAGATAGATGGGATTGATGGACGGGCGGGCTGACGGACCTTATGGTCATCCAGGACTCGGAGTTTGAGGACAGCCTAGTCAACGTACAGAGTTCAAGGCAAGGCAGGGCTACATGGCAAGACCCTGTCTACAAAACAGAACATCTCTCAAACCCGAAACAAGATCTTAAGGTCACAAGGAGCATCAGGGAAGGAGGCAGCTTTGCCATGCTGTCATCGTAAAGGTGGAGGATGTAGGCAGTGAGTTTATTTAGGGTAAGGGTCAAGGGCTATGTGCTTAGCTCTGTGTATGGTACCAGGGCCCCCAGGTTACAGCAGAATGGCTTATATACTTCGCCCTTCCCTCGCCCGCACCTCTGGGTTCTAGTCCCTGTGGCCAATCCCTGCCCAGTGTCAGCCTGGTGCAAGAATTTCTATCTTGGTCTGGGTGCTTGCATACTGAGGCTGCTCCATAAGAACTCTGTGCCCTTTGGTTTTTGCAAGGAGCCTTTCTTTGCTTGTTGCCCATAGATTAATGCCATTATTACCAATGGGCAAGTGAGATGAAATCTCCCTAGCTGGAGGCTCACAGATAACATTTTTCCTTCAGTCCTTCCCGGAAGTGGGCCGGTTAGCCAGCCCCAACTTTGTTTTCCATTAGAATGGAAAAATAGGTCTTGTCATTTTCCCTTCACAAGCTATGTGGCCAAGCTCAGGTGGCCGAGTTGGGATCAGGAAAGCAGTTAGGAGTTAGACACAGAGGCAGACTTTCTCTCTCTCTCTCTCTTTCTTTCTACTTTTCAGTCTGAAGGTGACATTATCTCATACAGGCCAAACTTTTAAAAAAATCACTTTTATTTGTATGTGCGCACTGCCAGAGTGCACACGTGGAGGCCACAGAACAACCTGGGGTAGTGGGACCTCTCCTTCCGCCGTGTGGGTCCCAGGGATCAAACTCAAGTTGTCAGGCTTGACAGCAAGCATCTTTCCACTCAACATCTCCATCTAAATCCAGAGTTAGTGAACACCACAAAGCAAGGGAGCAAACGCGCCCCTGCAGTACTCCCTTTGGCAGTGAGGGGGCACTGGCGACTGCATCTTACGGGAGACAGGATAGTCCTAAAGATGCTTATTCACGCCAGATGGACATGTGGAGGAGGGAGGCTGGCATCAGCCGTGAAAATAAAATCATTTTTCCTGATAAGGTTTTCTTGTTGGAGCCTGGTTCGGCCTGAACCAACAAACAAGGCCAAGAAGTTCCTGCCAAGCTGGGGGAACTCAGGCCTGTTTTCCGGCTTTATTAATCCCAGAGTTCATGAGCCACTGCAGGGAATGTTTATATATATAATTCAAGCAGACTGTTTTCTCATTCCCTGGAGTACCCTGCTGGGACAGGCCTCAGCTGATGACAGCCAGCCCTGGGTGATGACCTCAGACAGCAGCGCCAGAAGTGTGTATGTGGACACAGCTCCAGGCCCTGGGCTCAGGCTAGCAGCAGCTGCTGGCTTAGCCAGCTTCTGTCTCAGGGTTGATACCCTAGATTGATTCTGGATAAAGGTGAACCTCACAAGGCCAATGGCAGAGCCTACAAGCCCAGTTTTCAGAATGCTCCTTAGGCGGCCTAATCGGCCTTCTTGTCTCCTGGTCAGGCAGAGGTCTGCCTTCCTCTACGTGGATGCAGTGTGGGGTAAAAGAGAAGATCTTGGCTCAGACCCTGGGGCTTCTGAGATCCAAGCAGGAGGACCACCCCTTCTAGGACAGCAAAAAGTTTCCTCTCCTGCTGTCTGCATAGGTATCAGGGCCAGTACTCCACCTAACAGCCAAACAGCCCCCATGCAGTACTGAGGATGACTTCTTGGCCTGGCTCTCCATCTCTGCCTCTCCTCTGGCTCCAGTAAGCGTGAGGCTCAGCTTTTCTAAGTAGCACCCTTAATCTTCCTGACCTGAGGGGTCAGGGCTGGTCATTTGGGAAGAGAGGAGGAGGAAGTTCTTGGAAGGAAGGAGAATTTTTCAGAATTGTCTGCAGTCCAAGAAGGACAAGGAGAGTTGACATGGGAAAGTTGGATGAGAAGACCCTGAGTGTTAGGTTGTAGGAGCAACCGTGAGGAGCCAGCCCAGGGTAACTCGCCATGACTTCTTCAAACAGGACTCAGACCGTCATCATCTTAAGACCCACGGAAGAAAGCCAGGAAGGTCCACTTTTACACTCTACTTCCTGGAAGGAAGGTCCCTCGCTGACCTCAGAGCTCAGAGACAAGTCACATGTGACCCCTGGAACTCAGACATTGGTCACATCCATGTTTGCAGGGCACAGTTTCTTCCTGGCACTGTCGTTGTCTCCTGAAGTAAGACCTTGCATCGGGGTCATCTCCGAAGCTGCATCTTCCACCTTGGCTTTCCTCTCTTGCTTTAGCTGCTTTTTCTCTGCAGCATAGAAGCCCACAGCCATGAAGAGGGCGGCTGAGATGAGGAAGCAGCTTGACATGTAGAAAACATAGCTGAAGTTGTTGGTCACGTCCACCAGCAATCCTGGGGGACAGAGGACAAGTTAATTCACCATGGAAACTATAAAGTCTTCTCCCACTAACTCGTGTATTCAAAGAGGGCAGAGATTTCAGTTATGTCTCCACTCAACAAGAATTTGTGGCCGGTGCCTTGGCCTTGGAGGTGCACAACATATACCCGTGGAGTGAAAGGAGAGGGGAAGACAGCTGGCTTCTGGACTAGGCAGATGTCCTCTCCAGGAGAAAACCTACGAGTGAGACATTTTCCCTTGGTGGCAGAGAAAACAGAGAGAGGAGCTAATGGAATCTAGCCAGAACCCTACTCCAGGCCCTAACCCCACCCCTTTCTGGATAATTCTTGGCACTCATTTGCCTGCAGGACTTCCTTGGAAATTGGAACTCACACTTGAGAAAAATGACTCACTGATGCTGGGTGGTGGTGGTGGTGGTGGTGATGCACACCTTTAATCCCAGCACTGAGGCAGGTGGATCTCTGTGAGTTGGAAGCCAGCCTGGTCTACAGAGCAAGTTCCAGGACAGCCAAGGCTACACAGAAAAACCCTGTCTTGAAAAACCAAAAAGAAAGGAAGGAAGGAAGGAAGAAGACTGAGAGCTGAGCAGGCCTGACCATAGTAGCTACCACAGCATTTGACTGTGACTAACCCCGGCAGCAGCCACCTCCCACCCATGCTGAAGGTCCCTCACTCAGCTGTGTGGTAGCCTTCCCCTACAAGTCCCATCCTACAAATTCTGCTTGTTTCCTAGCATCAACCCCACATCCCTCTTTCCTTCCAAGAACATGGTTTTGACGGGGTGCATCCATTGACTGGTCTGGGTGGACCACACATTCTCTCTTCTGCGTTTTATAGTTGACAGTGTAGCTTAGAGAAGAAAAGTGATTTGCCTGGAAGCCACAGGTGGGAAGTGGGAAAGCCAAGATGTCAGTTACAGTAAACACAGGCAGAGCTCTTATCACGAGTCATGCTCTTTGCTTCTCGGACTTTGGGATCCTTACAAGGCCAGGCCTCTTATCTCCATGCTTGGCTGACAGGAGCGGGGGTCAGGACAGGAAGATGACAGATTCACATATGCCTAGAGTGTGAACCCATTTTTCTCTTTCTCTCCTTCCTTCCCTTCCTCCTCCCCCCTCAGAATCTTTTACTTTAGTGTATGAGTATTTTATCTTCATGTATTCACGTGCCACATATGTGCAGTACCCATGGAGGCCAGAAGTGGGCACTGGCTCCTCTAAAACGGGAGTGACAGAAGGCTGCGAGCCACCACGTGGGTGCTAGGAACTGAACTTGGATACTCTGCAAGAGCAAAGTGCTCCTAACCTCTGAGGCATCTCTCCAGCCCCTCCCTTAAAATATTTATTTATTTTATATATACGATTATTTTGCCCGCATGTATGTAAATGTACTGTGGAAGCCTGAAGAGGGCGCTGTATTCCCTGGAACTGGAATTATAAACAGTTGTGAACCACCATGTGGGTGCTAGGAATGAACCTGGGTCCTTAGTAAGAGCAGCAAGTGCTCTTAACACCCCCCCCCCCCATCTCTTTTTCTCTGATGGGGAGATTGTGCTAGGGTCTCATTTAGCCCAGGTTGGCCTCAGACTTGCTACGTAGCCAAGGATGACCTTGAACTCTTCATCTTCCTGCCTCCATTTCCCAACTGGTAGGATTACAGGCATGTACCACCATGGCTGGCCAAGCCTGCGTTTTCATACCTGGAGGGCCAGGTAAATAAGCCGCTGAGAGAAGGGGAGGCTCACAGATTCCAAGTCCCTTGTGACAATGGTAGACTGGGTTCAAATCTGTCCAGATGTCCTCCTTTGCCTTACCACCCTTTGCCCTGCCTAATACAGGCCCCACCTGGGCATGACTGGCTGCCCTCCCCTCCAGGCTCTCACCAGCCAGTGGTGGAGAGATGAGAGAAGCCACACCAATCAGGACAGTGCTGAGGCCCAGGGCACTGGGGAACCGATCCATCGGAACAACGTCCATGAGCACCTGGAAGATGAGGATGCCGATTCCACACATGGACAGGCTGTACACCAGGCAATAGCTCAGGAGCACCCGGAAGTCCGCGGACACAGTGCATATTAGATTGGTGAGTCCATTGACGAGGATCGCCAGGGTAAACAGGTACTTCCGGGAGGCAGCCAAGCTCTTCCGGCCTGCCAGCAGCGCCGCCAATGGCCGCAAGAAGATGTTGCAGAAGCCGACGACTGACGTGAGCGTGGCTGCCCAATACTCATCCATCCCATGGTGCATAGCATATGGCACTAGGAAGATATGCGGCAGTGGAAAACCTAGGCTCATACATGTCATGCCCACCACATATATGCAGAAGCCCATATTCTGCCAAAGGATGTCAAAGGCCAGGTGGTGCCGGATAGTTGAGACACATGTTGCCAGGCAGCTGCGTGTAGGTGTCTTGGGCGGTAGAGGGGGATCTTCTTTGGGCTCGGGAACCACGTTGGTGGCAACAGGCCTCAGGATGGCTCCACACACACAACAGTGGAGAAAGACGCCGCCGAAGATGAGGAAGGCACCCTTCCAGCCCAGGGTTTCCAGAAGATATCGGGCCAGCAGCGGCCAGAGGGTGACGCCCATGGACATGCCCATGGAGGCCAGTGCATTGGCCAGCGGCCGACGCTGGACAAAATACAAGCCCAGCACTGTGATGCTTGACTGGAAGCTGAAACACATGCCCAGGCCTGTAGTACAAGAGGGGACAGCAGCTCAGCAACAGTCTAGGACTTTTCACCTCCGCACGGAGTAGGGGTCTTGGCTTATGTTCTATGTCTGTCTCCTTTGGCCCTAGGACAGACACACTTCCAGGTTTTCATGATGGAAGGTACCTGACCACCTCCCTGTGGGCATCGCACCCTGCTCTTCCTCCCAGCTCCCTCTACAAGCACTACGATGACTTTAACTCTTCTCTCTCTCTCTCTCTCTCTCTCGCTCCTTCCTTCCTTCCTTCCTTCCTTCCTTCCTTCCTTCCTTTCTTCCTTCTATTCCTTTTCTTTCTTTTCTTTTTTGTAGCCAAATATTATTATGGTGAGTGACTTTAATCACAGAACTCAGGAGGCAGAGGCAGGCAGATCTCTATAAGTTCAAGGCCAGCCTGGTCTTCATAGTGAATTCCAGGATGGCCAGGCTACATAATGAGAACTTGTCTTAATTTTTTTTTTAAACGCACACTTGTAGTTCCAGCACTTGGGGAGGCAGAGGCAGGCAGATCTCTGTGAGCTGGAGGCCAGCCTGGTCTACAAAGTAAGACCAGGACAGCCAAAGCCACACAGAGAAACCCTGTCTTGAGAAAAAAAAAAAAAAAAAAAAAAAAGGAAGAGAGTTATTAACTTTATGTGTCTGAGTGCTCTGCTTGCATATGTTTGTGCACCATGTTCACGCCCGGTGTCCGTGGAGCACAGAAGAGGACATAGGATCTTCTGGAACTGGAGTTACAGATAGTTGTGAGCCACCATGTAGGTCCCAGGAACTGAACCCAGGTCCTCTTGCAATAGTTTCACTCTTAACGGCTCTTAACTGCTGAGTCATCTCTCCAGCTGTGTGTGTGTGTGTGTGTGTGTGTGTGTGTGTGTTCAGTGCCTGCAGAGGTCAGGCACCAGAGCCTCTGGAACTAGAGTGACTGGTGTTTATGTACCATGTAAAGTTGGAACCCACTCTACATGGGTTCCAAGAACCAAACTCAGATCCTCTGTAAGAGCACTCCCGGCCATCTTGCCAGCTCTTCACAGTGATTTTTTTTTTTTTTTGAGACAGGGTTTCTCTGTGTAGCCTTAGCTATCCTGGACTCATTTTGTAGACCAGGCTAGCCTCAAACTCACAGTGATCTGCCTGCCTCTGTCTCCCTGAGTTCTGAGATTAGAGGTGTGCACCACCGTGCCCGGCTTCACAGTTAAAACTTCACATTTTAAACGTAAACTTAACACCTCCCAGAGACTTCCTGGGACTTAAAAATTGCGTGTTTGCCGTGCCCTAGAGGACTGTGTGGTTTGGCCTAGGCCTAAGCCCTGGAATCCACCTCAAGCTACTCCTTGTCAATCACTAGGCTCAAGCCCTATCCACTCCTCCTCTGGACAAGAAGCTGCCCTATGCCTTGTGACCTTTGCCATCATGTCTTCTGCCTGGAGTATGCTCCACTTAGTTGAGACACCACCTCCCCAGAGGGGTCCCCCTGCTTCTGTGCCTTCTGTACCCCACAGTGGTTAGTGCTGGAGAAAAAGCTCCCTACAAAAAGCTCCCACCACCCACTCCCTTGTTCAGTCACTCACCTGCCTGCCCTCTATGTGGTATTTAGACTTTTTTCTTCTCTGCACTCTGACACTTTTTTCCTAACTCCTCATTTAGCTGTACGTGGGAACAGTGGCTCACCTTTGCCTTCAGGGGTTAATTTCTATTTCTTCCCTTTGGTCTGTCTCCTCAAGCCTCCCACCAGCAATTTCTCTGTTTTGCATCATTCTTTCCCCTTCTCTACTGGGCCATTCTTTGTGGTGGCAAATGCCTTTAAGCCCTGCACCCAGAAGGCTACGCAGACTCTGTGAGTCTGAGGCCAGCTTGGCCTACACAGGAAGTTCCAAACCAGCCAGGGATATCTTATCTGAGAGAGAGAGAGAGAAAAAGAGAGAGGCCTTGTCTCAAAACACAATAAGAAGCAAAACAACAAGTAAAAATTCCCAAAAAAGCAGGCAAACAAATAAAAAAATTCTCTTAACACCACAGTTTCTGGTTACTAGTCTGTTTCTCTGCTTCTTTTACACAGGGGCTTCAGATCAGAGGTAGAACACATGTGTAACTCATGTAAGGCTCTGGGTTTAGTTCCTAGCACTAGGAAGGAAAGGTACTAGACATGATGATGTACACCTGTAATCCCAGCACTCAGGAAGCTGAGGCAGAGGGCTTTCGATGAGTTCAAGGCCAGGCTGAAGGATGTAAGTGAGACCCTGTTTTAAGCCCTCCAACAAAAAGAATGAAAGAAGTAGAAAAGGGAGAAGAAGAAAGGGAGGGAGAAAAAGATGGAGGGGAAGATGGAAAGAGGCAGAGAAGGAGGGGAGCAGAGGGAGAGAGGTAGACAGGGACAGAGGGGAAAGCTGGGACCCAGACTCCTTGCTCCATATCTGCTCTCTTCCTCCTCCTTCTCCTTGCCCTCCAGGCAGTAGTGGGGATCAAAGAAGGCTAGGCAAGCACTGTGAACTGAGCACATTCTCCATCACTTCTCGTTGCTGCTGAACTGAACTTGTCCCTTCCATACCTTCACCCTTACCTTCTCACAAAGCTCATTCTCATTAAAGCCTCAGTGCTGAAGGACAAGCATGAGTAAGGTCCATCCCACTGCCCACCACTCTGCAAGCTCAGTACACTTCATCACTCACCTTCATAAAAACTGTTCTGACCATCAGCTTCCGGGGGTTCCTTTTCTTTCCATCTGACCTTTGTCCAAGCTCAAGCCCTCCCTCCTCAGCTGTTACTGGCAACTCTAGGGGTGAGTCACCAGCCAGGGATATGCTGACCAGGATACTCTCACATCCTCAGCCCTGTCCTCTTATACACTCTCAAGTATTTAAGCATTCTTATGTACCTATCCCCTGTCGGGCTTCTCCTCTGGGCTGTAAGCAGTCCCAGCTGCCCTGTCAATGTAGATAGAGTGACCGTTACCTGTGATCAGTCCTGCTGTGAGGAAGAGCTGGTAGAGGGAGCCAGAGAAGGAGCTGGCCACCATGCCCAGGCTGGCCAGTATGCCCCCCAGCATCATGGTCACTCGGCAGCCAAAACATTTCACCAGGATGCTGCACAGGGGTCCTGTAGGCAAGACAAGGAGCAGTGGGTGTGGAGTTCTGGAGCCAGGGCAAGGTAGGGCCTGGAGAGGAGCTCTAGTAGGAACTAGCCAGGGGGGTTCAGACATAACTAAAATCTACTAGCATGGCTCTGGCCGCTACCCTGCCACAGTCTGGTATGTGGCCCCAGCAAAAGCTTGATGCTCCTATCTGCATCAGTTTTCTCCCATACAGAATGAGTGATCAGACCAGACCATGTGTGACTACAATAAGGATGACTTGAGGGCACACCAAGCCTTTCACTAACCGAAGCTGAGGGCAGTTCCATTTGGGATCGTGATCTCTGTGAGCATCACACCCTTGCTTGGGTTTCGCTCCAGAAAAAGCATCCTGGAACAGTTGATCTCAGCAGGTACCTCCAGTCCTCCCTTTCACCTACCCCACCATCTTCTGGAAGACTGAACCCTTTACCTTCCAACTCATACATTTGACTGGGGTCCTGGACCACTCCATGCCTCCTTGCTCTGACCTTTGGAGTGTCCTCTCTCCTTCTCTCACTGGTTCTATCACTGCCCAGTCTTTGTGCCTGGGGCTGGGGAAGTAGCTCAGGGATAGAGAGCATATTCAGCATGTAGGCTGTGGGCTCCATCTTTTGGACAGAGAGACAAAGAGAGACAGAAAGGCAGAGACAGAGAGACAGACAGGAAGATATTGATAGAAGAGATAAAGATTGAGATTGGGAGAAAGAATAAAAGAAGAAGAGATGCTGTGAGATAGAGAGAGAGAAACAGAAAGAGAGGCTGGAAGAAGGAGAGTCTGAGAGATACAGAGAGAGGATATAGAGAGAAAATAAAAGAAAGAAGGAAGGAAGAAAGGGAGGGATGGATAAAGGAAGAAAGAGAGGCAGGGAGGGAGGAAGGAAGGGAGGGAAAGAGGAAGAAAGGAAGGAAAAAGGAAGTGAGGGAGGAAGGAAGGAAGAGAGGGAGGGAGGAAGTAAGGGAGGGAGGGAGGAAGGAAAGAAGGAAGGGAGGGAGGGAGGAAG